CTTAGTAACCACATTAAAACCTATTGTCGAACATTGGTCTTATCCTCAGTTCGCAAAGGCAGTCCTTGACAACTACAACAAATTCTTCTCGGAAGTTAAATCCAAAGTGAAGGTTTACTATGAGAACATCGATGCACTCATGACGAACGAAGAAGGCTATAACAAACTCATTGAAATGGGAATGGTCGGTGAAAAGATGGGCTTTTTTAAGCTAGATAAGGTATTTTCCGAAGTTCATGTCCTCTCCAAACGTAAGTACTGGGGAATACTTGAAGACGGCACAGAAATAAAACATTGCATGAAATAAAAAATTGCATACCATTTTAAAACGTTTTTAAAACAGTATATTTTTACATATATTAAATGCTTCAGGTTGAAAAACAAAGAACAAAAGTAGCAGATACAAAACCGTTAGACTATATCTTTACAAATGCTGGTAGGACTATATCAGATGAAGAAATTTCATCCGGAGCTTACAGGTTTGACTATCCAATTCGTTGGCTTCAAAGTCCTTCAGATGCAAAGGCAATAGGATTTAGAAGAGTTTTGTTTTCAAATAGAACTAACGCGTTTATGTTCGCAGTATATTTTCATGGTCAGTATAAAGGTTCTGATGGTCTAATAGAAAAATTTGATGAAATGAAAATCTTTACAATTCGTTCAGACGAAAGTCTTGAAAAAACTCTAAATGACTTTCAAACTCAAATAAACAAATACTACTGGGAATTTCAAGAAAAATACCACTCTTTACTAAATGGAACATACTATCTGAAGCTAGAATACGACAAGATGAACTCCACAGTTTCATTTCAAAAGATTGAAATTAACCCTCCAAGAGATACAGAGTTTTTATATTGGGGGGTGGACAGACGTTCTTGGGCACAATTTCTTCGGTTACTAAACCAGAACGAACCATTACCACCAGATGGTCCATTTAAATTTATACTTCCACCAGCAGATTTGACAGTTTATAGAAACGTGTTTGACCCTCAAAATGTCATGTGTCATGCAAGTTTCAGTTCAAGCAACAACAGTTTTCTGTGTATCGGTAAGGACTTTTATGACTTTGCTTCTAAATTCTACGAACCACCTAGTAACAGTTTCTCTGACTTTCAAGTCTGGTTCACAACAAACGGTGTGCAGCATATTATTCCATTGTACTATGACTTTTATCTCGAATTGTCTTTCATATACAACTACGGAAAAGTGCTGAAAAAGTATTGAAAAATATATTTTAGGGTAGATGGTTTTTAGGTGGAACCAGGTCCCTCGGTCCCCAGGTCCCCAGGTCATTTTAACTTCTCTGAAAAAGTGTGACAACATGACATTTAGACAACAACACAGGAAATAAACTTCATCGTAAATGTTTTGTCAAAACTTCTTCTTCGTAATGAGCGTAAATGACCCAAAAATATATTTTAGGTGAGATCTCAGAACTAGTCTTGTACTGTTTCAAGACAATGTCCGACGGTTAAGCCACAAACGAATGTCCGACGTCCCACCAAAAAATATTTTTTATTTTTATTGTAAGAACTGAAATGACAGTCGAAGCAAAAACGTTCACGAACAAATCTAATGGCGAAACATTCACAAAAGGCACTTACAACGGTATTGAAGTCTTACGTAGAGACAAGGATGTTATATAAATGCAACAAATATGTGTCAGCAGTTTAGGAAAGACTTTAGAAAGTTGTTGGAAAATAAGTCCTGGGAAGAGTATTTTAAGGCATTTTGTGAAGAATATACCACCCGCCGGAATTCCGGCGGGTGCTTTTTATACAATGTTAATGCAGGAATTCCCGATGAAATCAAACAGGTTAGAGGAACGTATGTAGACCCAAGACTTGTAAACTATATAGCAATGTGGGCTTCTCCAAAATATTGCATAGCAGTTGGAAAAATTCTGGACTCCATAGACAAGAAAGTTCATGAGAAATTAAAAGAAGAACTTGAAGATACAGCAGAGAATGCTAAACCTTTGTTCGAACAAGAAGTTAGAAAAATGCGTTTAAAACAAATAGAACATGAACATGAGATATGTTCTGGTTATAGAGATTCTCCATACGAACTAGACCAATGGGAACAAGAAGATTTAAAGAGAGAATTTAGAGAATATGAACTCGCTAAAGTTTCATTAGAAGCTGCAGAAGAGAGGTTAAAAGTTTGGGGTCGTTTTGTACAAAAATATTGTGAGTAAATGAACCATTTTATTTTTATTGAATTCGGCAAAAATATATTTTAGGTTAGATGGTTTTTAGGTGTCACCAGGTCACCAGGTAATTTAAACTTCTCTGAAAAAGTGTGACAACATGACATTTAGACAACAACACAGGAGATAGACTTCATCGTATATGTTTTGTATAAAAAGCAACCGCCGGAATTCCGGCGGGTGGTATATTCTTCACAAAATGCTTGTTTTGTTGAGACTTCATCGTAAATGTTTTGTATAAAAAGCACCTGCCGGAATTCCGGCGGGTGGTATATTCTTCACAAAATGCTTGTTTTGTGCTGAAAACATAGCACAAAAATATATTTTAGGTGGAACCAGGTCCCTCGGTCAACTAACATCTTTTTGAAAATGGTGACAACATGACATTTTGACAACAACACAGGAAATAGACTTCATCGTATATGTTTTGTCAAACATGAGCGTAAATCAGACAAAAATATATTTTAGTTTTTTTTTAAAAAAATATTTTTTTATTTTTATTGTAAGAACATGTCAGCAACAACTTCACCAAACTCGTTAGTCATGAACCCAACTTCAATGTTAGTAGAGATGAAAAGCTTCATTCCTTCTTCATATACTTTCGAAACAGAAATCCAGAAGATAAAGCAAGAACTTCTCCAAGGAGATTTAAACTGTAGTGCAAAAGATGAAACAAATGAACAGTATCTTTATGAAATGCAGGACCTGGTGGAACATCTACCTAAACTTCCTGAAATACAACAACAAAAGCTTACTATTCCAGAATTCGATGAAATAGAAGTGAAACCAACTGACTCAGTAGAAACCAAGAAGTTCATACGTAAGGTAAACTATGAGTTTCTTGGATTTCATTGCAACCACAAAGACTGCGATATGGTATATTTCATTGACATATATAAATCTGAAGAATTTAAGACCTACGACAACTTTGTTTCGTTAGTTGCAAAATGTGTCTTGCAGATAAGAGATAAAGATAGAAGAGGTAAAGTATGGAACCAACAAATAAAACCAGCAGCCTTTGAGTTAAAGAAAACCATTTACGCCTTAGTCATACTTGCAGGTAAGGTTTCAATGTACAATGCTAAAATGAACCCACAATGTTCAAAATGTAAAGCAGCAATGAGGAAATATAACTACTCCGTCAAAGAGATAGAACGTATGCGAAACGACTATGCTGACTTAAAGAAAGAAGCAGAGAAACCAGCAGAAGATAAAATGGACATGTTGACATTTCTGAACAAAAACTATCCAACTGCTGACGATTTCCTTCTATCTGACGTCAAGAAGAAATATAAAGAAACTTTCGGTATCGTTAAAACTTTTGATATCCTTCGTGAAGAAATAGAAGCTACAAAACTGTTTAAAGTCATGAACCATCACAACATATACCATGTAAAACGCTTGTAAATAGTTATGGTAGAAATATATTTTTGTCTGATTTACGCTCATTGACGAAGAAATCTTAACAAAACATATACGATGAAGTTTATTTCCTGGACTGTTGTCAAAATGTCATGTTGTCACCGTTTTCAAAAAGATGTTAGTTGACCGAGGGACCGAGGGACCGAGGGACCTGGTTCCACCTAAAATATATTTTTGCTGAAAAAAATGACCAAATTTCATGATATAACTGTATTTTTTTGACGAAGAGAACTTTTACACTTCGTAAAAAAACTCTATGAAATCGTGAAAAAATGACCAAATTTCATGATATAACTGTATTTTTTTTACCAAGTGAACTTTGACACTTCGTCAAAAAAACTCTATGAAATCATATCTTTTATACAAAATAAAAAAACAACGTTAGTTTTATTTTTTTTTATTTTTTTATTTTGTATGTAAGAACAGGAAATGACAAACACTGAGTTTGAAACAGTTAAAAAGATAGACAATGACACCAAAGTGGTTAGAATAGGTGATTTAAACGTAAGATACTCAAAGAAATACAACAAATATTCTTTGTCAGACATTATATCTCCATCTGGAAAGAGAGCAAGCGACTGGGTTAGAATTGCTTCTACTCAGAAAATTTTGACAAGAAATCCTGAGCTTATGATATCGGTAAGATTCTATGGAACTACAGCATATCTCATCGACAAAAGTCTTATACCAATAGTTTTGTTATGGTTAGACCCAGTTGTTGGATATAATTTCATAACATATGGTTCATTCGATACGGAACGTTGCTGTGAAGGCTTACTTTACATCGTTCAGAAACCGAAGGACTTCAATACAAAGAGATATAAGATAGGAAGAACATTTAATATAACTCAAAGATATGACTCTATAGTCAATAGAGTTAAGGTTGTGTTCGTTAACGATATGAGAGCTGCTGAAACAGAACTACTTGAAAAGTTTGAGAAAATGTATGGTGCTCCCACGAAAGGTAAAGAAACGTTTGAAGTAGATGAGATCGACAAAGCTATAAAATTATTTGACGAAGTTGCTGAAAAATACATGTAAAGCGTTTATTTTTGGTCTTTTATACAAGATAGAAAATAACGCTAATTTTATTTTTATTTTATTTTTTATTTTGTATGTAAAGACAGATATGACAACAACAGAGAACACAACAACTGCTATCGTTCATGAAGCCATAGATGAAGAATACGAGTGGGTTCAGTTTAACAAACAACTCCGTCTCATTCGTTCGGTCAAAGATGACATGTACCAAATGCAAAGTATTTTGACAGCATGTTTTGCTCCAGATACTAAGAAACCACAAGACTGGTTTGAATTAAATAGCACTCATGAACTCCTCAGTGAGTTTGAACATGTAGAACTTAAAAGATTGTACCAAGACAGACAAAACTTACCATCATATCTAAAAGGTATATATGTTCATAAGTTCCTAGTTAGTTCAATAGCAATGTGGGCTTCACCTCGCTATTCATGGTATGTTTGTAAACTTCTTGACGAACTTTGTACAAAGCAGAGAGAAGATATGATGAAAGAAGACAAAAACATACAGAAAAGAATACCACGTTCGGTACCAAAAGGAAAGGAAAAGAACTATAAGTATATGATTTACACTGAAGAGATGGAAAATGAAGAAGACAGAGATATGGTTATGTTGCATTTAGTCAGAAGAAACAACAAAAGCTTTTACGACTTAGCTAAGATTTACAAATCTGACAGAAATTGGTTCTATCGCGAAAACTTACCGATTTCAATGACACCGAATGAAGATGTTAAACAGATAGTTCAAGATACGTTACCTCAAACACACTATGATATGAAAGGTTGTACAATACTTACATTCAAAGAAGATTTGCCGCTACTGAAGGAAAAGATAACAGAGTATTTCGATAACTTCAAAGAGGAAGAGTAAATGAACCATTTATTTTTCAAGCTTGACACCAAAGATGGCTCAGGTAGCTCTATAAGGTAAATTGTCTTGTCCGAGTCCTTCTGGCATTCCGAGTCCTTCCATCTGGCATTCCGAGTCCTTCCATCCGACAGAAAAAGTTTTTCCTTCTGGCATTCCGAGTCCTTCCTTCCGACAGGAAAAGTTTTTCTTTCCGACAGGAAAAATTTTTTCTGTTGTCCGTCCGTAAACCATTCAAATTTTCGAAAATTGAGAACTTTTTGGCCGACCTTCAGAAAAAGTTTTTCCTTCCGACAAGAAAAGTTTTTCTTTCCGACAGGAAAAAAATTTCTTGACAACTGGAAGAACTCTTCCTTCCGACAGGACACAAACGGACAACTGGAAGAACTCTTCCTGAATGTCTTCCAAAGCCAGAAGAACCGACAGCCCCAGCACCACAACAGACTAAGACTCAAACACTTACATTTTTACGCTTGACTTTTTACAATTTGAACTTTGTTTGCGTAGATATGAATTCTGAAAGAAGTATGAGGGTCTTGTATGACTTTGTACTTCTCCCATAGTTCATGTCTGTCAAACTTACCTGCCATGGACTCTTTCATAAGTTCCATGAAATCGTCTTCGGACAATCCGGGGAAAAGTACAATGTCAGTAAGTATTCTCTTTACATCCTTACTTAAACTCTTGGCTGTCTGTACACAAATGACAACTGAGATGTTAAAGTGTCTGAGCTTCTTAAGAATTCGACACATGTCTTGTTCTCTGTTCTTTAACAAAGGATGAGAGGCGAAATCATCTAAGATAAGAAGACATCTGTGAGGGTAAGTCTTCCAATCGTAAGATTGCAATTTCTTCGAAAGGTACTCAATCTCTTTCTGTTTGTTTCTGAAGTGTTTCTTCTCTAATATTCTCTGCATTTCCTCATTTGGGTCTTTAAACTTAGAATTGACATACTCATTTATAGCATTGTACTTCAAAACTCTTCTTTGGTACTTCTTTATCCAATCTAACAACTCAGAGTCTTTTATACATACTAACTTAGACTTCTTTATAATATCTTTGAACGAATTGACGGTTTGGTCAAATTGACCAGAAGTACTACAAATGACAACTAACTCATAGAATGGGTTCTTCTCATCTAGTTCTTGTTGTTGTGCAGCCATTTTAAGATAAGTGAAAGTCTTACCCGACCCAGGTGGTGCGATTAGACCTGTTATACCATTCTGAGCAAATAAGAACTTGTCATGTATGGGTTTTATCTGAGCATTTTCCAACTTCCTCTTGTTCTTATTTAAAACATTCTCAAATTTTTTGTCAATGTCAGCAAACTTTTTTCTAACATATTTTTAGAAAAATTAAAATTTTTATCTTTTAGGAAATGTCTAGCGATTTCGCTATCTATATTCGAGACAAGCTTTTCGACAGCAAAACATCTGTCGACCATAAAATCTTACATAGTGTAAACAAGAAAGGTGAATTTGTTCTAAAGTTCTGTTTCTGGGAATATGACAAGAACCATAAAACATTAAGCAGAGAAGTCTTAAAATTTGTCAATGACAGACTTGTTGACAGAGATGACGCCTCTTGGAGAGATGAAGTCCAACAAAACTTCTTAGAATGCAAAGAAGACACATGCGCTGTTCTTGAAGATGAAATAGAAAACAGAATAGAAGAGCTATTAAAGGACAAAGAACTTTTACAAAAATATGGTTCTGAGAAGTTTGACATAACTCCACCAGAGAAGAAGAAGAGAGAAAAGAAAGAAAAGAAAGTAGAAGAAGAGAAGAAAGAACCAGAGCCAGAGAAGGGGAGATATGACATGTAAAAATAAAATTTTATTTTTAGAACATTTCTGGGTCAATGTCAATGTTCTCTTCCTCTTTAGGAGCAAACACCGGCTTAGACTCTAAAATCTTTTTACCCAATTTACCTTGAACTTCAACTATCTTAGACTCATAATATTCATAGTCGTCTGCTTTCTTTGGTTCATAAGGTATAACAAGTTTGTATGCTTTGCCTTCTTTAAGGTTTGAAAACCTTCTGTCAAAACTTTCTTTGACTGTTAACAAACCTTCTATGTCTAAGTCTTCAAATTTCGCACCATTTTTAGTCACAATAGCAAACTTAACTGGTTCGATGTTCCAAACTTTGTCAAATGTAGACTTTTCAAAATGGTAGAAGTAAACATTCAAATATGTGAATGGGTCTAGTTCTTCTTTAAGTCCTGACATGTACTTGTTTACTGAGATGAATTTCGTCATCTTTTCTATCGAGATGGATAAAATGCACACATTTGCACACATTTTGACACTTTTTCTGACAAGCATCATTCAAATTTGAAGAAAAACCTCTAAATTTCATTCAAATTTCTGTCAAAATGTGTGCAAAATTGAAATAGGCACACATTTTGACATACGATTATTTATATACGTTATTTTAATGGTTTCAGAGAAATCTTCGTTACACATTATTGAAGATTACTCAATATTTAAGTGAATGACTCACTACCACCTGTTTAGAAAAATGGTAGCATAAAATCCAAATGTCACATATATTATTTCTTATTTCATACAAATAAACTTACAATTATAACCTCAACTTGTTTGCAAAGCAGAAACTCAATATAAGCAATCGATCAGTAGTGTATTTAAAAGTCGAATTTAAATTTAAAAATTTATAATCTTATTTCGGAACCAAATAGTATAAATTTAGGACAAAAAGCTACGTGGTGTTGATAACAACTATTAAAATTCAAATATTACTACCATGAACAATACAATGGCTCATATTGATAATTGATAAACGTGCATATAAATTGCATATATCATCAATGTCATTAAGTAAAATACATGTATATAAATAGATTAGAAATATTTTTCGGTTAGAATTAAAATCTATGTAATAAAAAATAAGTTATAAAAATAAATACCGAATTTTTATTTGTAATATAAACTGCAACAATATGCTAGTGTATACAAATGTATTTGTCATATTGATTTGAAAGATCTTCAACATGGTTCAGATCTAAATTTGAAACTCGTAAAATAAAGCGAATCTTTATTTATAATATAAACTGCTACAATATGCTAGTGTGTACAAATGTATTTGTCGTATTGATTTGAAAGATCTTCAACATGGTTCAGATCTAAATTTGAAACTCGTAAAATAAAGCGAATCTTTATTTATAATATAAACTGCTACAATATGCTAGTGTGTACAAATGTATTTGTCGTATTGATTTGAAAGATCTTCAACATGGTTCAGATCTAAATTTGAAACTCGTAAAATAAAGCGAATCTTTATTTATAATATAAACTGCTACAATATGCTAGTGTGTACAAATGTGTTTGTACAAATGTATAACTCTTTGTCAATTGTTATGGCACCTTATAACTTAAAAATCATTTTCATTAACAAATATAAAAAGTGACAATTAATATTTTCATTAAATGCATATTTAATTATCAAAACAATGTCGATTTAGCTTGAATGTTCATTATAAATGTGTAAGTTTAGGAAAACAAAAAATAATTAATTCTCGCAAAGAAACTTATTTTAAAAGAACCTAAACAAAAGTTCATATAATAATAAATCTAAAAATAGATATTAATTTAAACGAAGATAATGAGAGAATGGGGATGTTGTAAAACAATGAGACTTAATGATCAAATAATTAAAATAATAAAATTAATTAAAGGAAAGCTAAAATAGTTTAATGAATTTTTATAGATTGATTACACAATCAATGTTTCTGTGTCAATGTACATCAATCAACATTGTTTCATTGAATTTTGTCTTTCACCAAGAAGATTCAAGAACAAAGTTTTGTAGTTTCAATAGATTGATTACACAATCAATGTTTCTGTTCAATGTACATCAATTAACATTGTTTCATTGAATTTTGTCTTTCACCAAGAAGATTCAAGAACAAAGTTTTGTAGTTTCAATAGATTGATTACACAATCAATGTTTCTGTGTCAATGTACATCAATCAACATTGTTTCATTGAATTTTGTCTTTCACCAAGAAGATTCAAGAACAAAGTTTTGTAGTTTCAATAGATTGATTACACAATCAATGTTTCTGTGTCAATGTACATCAATCAACATTGTTTCATTGAATTTTGTCTTTCACCAAGAAGATTCAAGAACAAAGTTTTGTAGTTTCAATAGATTGATTACACAATCAATGTTTCTGTGTCAATGTACATCAATCAACATTGTTTCATTGAATTTTGTCTTTCACCAAGAAGATTCAAGAACAAAGTTTTGTAGTTTCAATAGATTGATTACACAATCAATGTTTCTGTGTCAATGTACATCAATTAACATTGTTTCATTGAATTTTGTCTTTCACCAAGAAGATTCAAGAACAAAGTTTTGTAGTTTCAATAGATTGATTACACAATCAATGTTTCTGTGTCAATGTACATCAATCAACATCGCTATCTGCTTTAAAAATCCCTTCTGCTAATACTTCTGTGTATTTTTTACCATTGCTATCTGTCCTTATTGCAATCATTTGACCTTTTATATCACTTCTTCTAAATTCTCTTACTTGTTTTAATAAGCAATTAAGTTCATATCCATATTCTTCGATTGAATCCATGTTCAGTATTTTCATAGCAGTATCAATGTCATTTCTGGCTGAAAACAATGCAATTTGTGAAATATCCATATCATATCCACATTTTATTAAATCCTCCAAATTTGATAGTTTAGTTGAAGAAATTATTGGATTGTCAAATAGTTTAGAGGCTTTTTTGACTCTTTTATTTCAATTGTCATATCTGAATAATGTTTAACATAATTAAACAATTGTATCTTCTTTGAATCTTTTTGTAATATAAAAGTCTTTAGTTTAAGATGAAATACTTTGGAAGCATATAGATATAATGATAGACAATGTATTTTTTGAGGAGTATTGACTTTTTTTAATTTTATTTCCATATTTGAGCGTGATAACCATATCAAAAATGAATAACCTTAATTTATAAATCTGAATTTGATTTTAATAATAAAAATAATATATATATATGTAATTCATGAGTTATATTTTTACACTTCATTTTACCTGAACAAATATAGCTGATATCAAATAACAATTTAATATAGAAATTGAAATTGTTATATATGCAATGTAAATACACATAATACATATATTATAATTTATCAATGATTATTGTCTAGACCAAAATTTGTAGATGGAATTATGCAATTTCTCAATTTAAAGTCCCAGCTGTTTGTATAACAACTTCATATTGAAATTTACTAATAAACACGGTAAGTTTCATAATTTTTATTATTATGATCTTACATTTGATTAAAATCGACGATTTTTCAATTGGAAAATAGTGCAAAGTAATAAAGAATATATTTAGCAAATTTTAAATTTTTTTCAAAAATTTTAGAATGAATCATAGAAGGACTAGCAAAGATTTAAAGGAAATTTGAATAAACTCATAGAATTTTTGAAAGAAGAAGGGAGATTTGAGAGGATTTTTGGTCAGAAAAATATAGAATTAAATGAATAATTGGGTATGATAAGATAAGTGAAGGTAAAAGATAATTTTAGTAAACGAAAACGTGTAAAGTTGAAGCAAGGTAATATTTTAATCATTTAAAAAAGAAAAAGAGGAAAACTTGTTCTTGAATCTTCTTGGTGAAAGACAAAATTCAATGAAACAATGTTGATTGATGTACATTGACACAGAAACATTGATTGTGTAATCAATCTATTGAAACTACAAAACTTTGTTCTTGAATCTTCTTGGTGAAAGACAAAATTCAATGAAACAATGTTGATTGATGTACATTGACACAGAAACATTGATTGTGTAATCAATCTATTGAAACTACAAAACTTTGTTCTTGAATCTTCTTGGTGAAAGACAAAATTCAATGAAACAATGTTGATTGATGTACATTGACACAGAAACATTGATTGTGTAATCAATCTATTGAAACTACAAAACTTTGTTCTTGAATCTTCTTGGTGAAAGACAAAATTCAATGAAACAATGTTGATTGATGTACATTGACACAGAAACATTGATTGTGTAATCAATCTATTGAAACTACAAAACTTTGTTCTTGAATCTTCTTGGTGAAAGACAAAATTCAATGAAACAATGTTGATTGATGTACATTGACACAGAAACATTGATTGTGTAATCAATCTATAAAAATTCATTAAACTATTTTAGCTTTCCTTTAATTAATTTTATTATTTTAATTATTTGATCATTAAGTCTCATTGTTTTACAACATCCCCATTCTCTCATTATCTTCGTTTAAATTAATATCTATTTTTAGATTTATTATTATATGAACTTTTGTTTAGGTTCTTTTAAAATAAGTTTCTTTGCGAGAATTAATTATTTTTTGTTTTCCTAAACTTACACATTTATAATGAACATTCAAGCTAAATCGACATTGTTTTGATAATTAAATATGCATTTAATGAAAATATTAATTGTCACTTTTTATATTTGTTAATGAAAATGATTTTTAAGTTATAAGGTGCCATAACAATTGACAAAGAGTTATACATTTGTACAAACACATTTGTACACACTAGCATATTGTAGCAGTTTATATTATAAATAAAGATTCGCTTTATTTTACGAGTTTCAAATTTAGATCTGAACCATGTTGAAGATCTTTCAAATCAATACGACAAATACATTTGTACACACTAGCATATTGTAGCAGTTTATATTATAAATAAAGATTCGCTTTATTTTACGAGTTTCAAATTTAGATCTGAACCATGTTGAAGATCTTTCAAATCAATACGACAAATACATTTGTACACACTAGCATA